AACACCTTTCAATTTGCATTATAGAATAATGAGGGATTTGCCAGGAGGCATAAATCTCCCTAAATTGGCATCTTTGCATAGAATGCCTCTTTCCTGTCTTGACATAAATGTAAATGAGGTGATAAGGAGAAATATATCTCAAACATTAGCTACTATAGCTGACTCTATTGCAAAGGCTATGATGCCAAAAAAAAGTTCTTTAAATTCTCTTGCCAAAGGTGTTTTAGTTAATAGGGTCCCTTTGGACTACTTGTTGACTAAACAAGGAAGAGTGTGTGAGATAGATATCACCTGCTGCACTTGGATAAAAACATCTAGTATGGGAGACACTCAGTTGTAAGAAATCAAACAGCAAGGCATTTGGTTAAAACAAGTAGATGCCTCTTTTGGCTCATTCTTTGATTTACTTTAGTTTATTTTGTTCATGGGGGCATTGGTTATGGAGCATATTTCAGTCTATTGGTATTACCCTCCTGTCATCAGAGTAGTCTCCTTGGTGCGCTGTAACCTCTCAAGGGTCTTACATGCTGTGTGCAGCCATCTACTGTTTGTCTAATGGCCTTACTCCAGTGAGAGTGACAAAAACATGAGTAACAATAAAAAGAATCTTTCAGCTAGCCTGATATCTTGACTTATGAATTCCTTACTGAGACTAGCTAAGTCCATTATTGCGGGGAGGTAGCTAAGCTTCCAGCAAAAAACTGGGTCCCTTTGGTAGAGTTTCAAGGGATAAGAAAATAATAGAGAAAAATGGAAAATAAAAGAAATAAAAGAATACACAGACACAAAGATATAGTTTTATAAGTTTATGAAGATTATAGGCAAAGCAGGATCTCGGGGGGCCTAGACCTTCTCCGTGGGTCTCAAAAAGCCCTGAATGAGGTCTTACGTGGTAACTTACAGGGAATAGTGATTAGTTTCCAGGGGTAACAGATTTACATAACAGCAGGTAGTTTCTCTTAGGTTAACAGATTTTCAAAAGGCTTCTACAGATCCTTTAACTAATTCTATCTACGAGAACAAATGGTTACAAAATATTTCAAAGACTAACTTCTAAGTTCTAAAGTAAATTTATCACTTAACAGAGGGGTTAAACAGAGATATATTGGCTCCATATTTATTAGGTTATTGTGAATGGAGACAGGTAGTCTGGAGTGTTTAAACAGGAGCTTGCTTTTAGACATTCGGGCAGCTGTCTGTTACGAGGGGGCACTCCATTGTCAGCTCTCATCCTGTAGTTTTTAACAGATTCGCTTTGCTTTACAAAACAAATCCAACCCTTTAGGTCTGAGAAACACGGAGCCTTGTGGGATATAGCTACTACTGTCTTTCAGAGATGCCCTTCCTAGTGCAACAGCATTTGAAATGCAAACTAAACACGTTCACATATTCCTTCAGGTCAAAGCTCTGAAAAACTCCTAAGACAAATCCTGTCTGCAAACACATCTATATTAATTCACGGAGCAACACGTTATAATGGTGACAGAGAGTGGAGATTGAGAGGTTGACCACAAAGGGGAATTGATACAGCAAATAAGAAGGCCATTAGCTTGAGGTTTTCTTTGTATGTAGCTCTTACGCAAGCAAACCTGTACTTACTTGTAGCTGTCATTTAAAAAACAAATCTAGCCTTGGTCAATCACAAACAGCCAACCAGCAAATTGGTTATGTTAACTAGGGACCTCCCAATACAGGATACTGAAATGAGGCAAAAGCCGAGGACCTCCCATCACACCCCTCCCAAACAAAGCAAATGCCCAGCTCTAGCAAATCAATTAATTTCTGTATTTTGCTTCTGCATTCAGCCTATAAAAGTTCACTGCTCACACTGCTAGAACAGAACTCTCTAAACCTATTCCAGTTTTGAGTGCTACACAATTTGTGAATTGTTCTTTGACCAAGAAACTCTAAATTTATTTTCTCTAAAGTTTTTATTTTAACATTTCTATAATTGATCTTTCTTGAGAATTGGGTTTTTGAGTCCTATGTTCCTGATGAATTCCTGTCTACCTTGGCTCGTCCAGAAGTTAAGCAATTAATTAATCCCCTGAGAAGTCCATAGCCCCCTCACTCTCTTCCTACAACTGCCATGTACCTGCTCACTCATCCCTGATGCCCCTGCCAATCTGGGTGCAGGCAGATGGCTCTTATTATATTTCCCAAATTCATCTTAAACTTTATATATTATAAAATTTCAATTCTACTTGATTCTATCCGTTCATATTTCCAATGTTATTACCCAGATATCCTTGTTTTCTTCTGGGAATGGATGGCAGTCGTCCTGAGACAAGACACAGGGCCAGGACTCCTGACAGCTGGGATGTGGTCACACTGTGTGTATCCTGACAGCCTTCCTCCTCCCCAGGTCAACCCCACCCACCCTTCCTCTGCCTCAAGAAGAGAGGCTCAGGGAGTTTCCAAAGACCTCCCCACAAGCTCCTTCTCCTTGTTACTTCGCGTTCACTTTTATATTCCATGTGCCCAGGGCTGTGTCCCAGCACTGATCCTCTAGGAAAGAGGAAGAAATGTCCACATGTGCCCCTAGCAGATATGGAAGTGGCCACAGTGCATAAAAAAGGAATGTGTATGGAGATTTGATTTACTGTTTTCTTTTACTGCCTCGTTTGATTTCAGTTGCAACCATTTGAGGACAGCCAAGCAGACATTGTCATCACCACATAAATGATGCAGAGACAGAGAATCAGAGGATAGGGGCTAAAAAGATGCAGAGTTGATATAAGAAGTCGTATTTCTGGAGAGTGAAGGACTTCATGACACAGTACTACAATCTGTGCCCCGCTTTTTTCCCCTGGGGTGGAGGCCCATGGATGCTACTGACCAGGTGTTCCCACCACGTCTCCAGCCTCAGCCTCTGGCCCAGGGTTTGCCCAGGGGCCCACTTCCTGACCATATACAGCATCCAGGGCCACAGTTCCATGATCCTTTGCTATATAGATACGAGAGAGGAGAGAAGTGACCAGGGGGCCACTTCCAGGAGCAGGAATAGATGGTTGGTTCAAGGGAGGAGAAGTCTTCCCAAAAGAGCAGACACCTCAATGCTAGCCCTATGCACACACAAACCTCAAGCACCCGCCCCATGCCACGTGCTACTCTGGACCCTGGAGAAACATTGGGAAGCAAGACAAATCCTGGACTCCATGGAGACCCACTTCTGGGGTGTGGAGAGCTGCCAAAGCCCCACACGTGCACTCTGAGTTGGGCAGGCGTCAGCACATTCTGCCAGGGCCGGTGCCTTACAGTGGGCTCCTCTCCCTCACTCCAGGAAGGAGGGCTCTGCTCCCACAGGGTCCTGACCCAGGACTCCCCAGTGGGCTGAACCCCATGAGACCCTGTCCCAGTAGCTGCCTCAGATATGGTGCTCGAGTGGAACGAGCAGCGTGACTCTCTGGAAAACACATGCTGGAACCACAGTGGATAAAGGGCTCCTCTGAGCTTCTTCCTGTTGACAGTCGTGGTGAAGGAAAGACCAAGGGTGGAGCACACAGGAGAGGGAGTGGGGGTTCATAAACAAAAACCTATTCACGTCTGGGCAAGGCAGGGCAGGGCTGCGAGGGCTCCAGAGTCCAGACAGGGCCAAAGAGCAGCAGCTGTCCCCACCTCAGCACTGGGGGGCCTGCAGGGAGACCCCCATGCCTGGCTCTCCCCTGGATTTGCCTGGAATCACCGTCTGGGGCTCGCCCACCCAGCTGTCTCTATGCAGGACACGTTCCAAGGTGATGGTCCAAACACAACACGTGTCTTGACCATATTCCCCTTAAGCTGAGCCCGAAACACAGACTGATGAGTGCGGGTGGTTTCTTTGGAGATGATCCCAGGAGACACGAGTGAGAAAGGGGGAGAAAAATCAACTTTCCTGTTATCAACATGTCTGTTATCAGTGGATTACACTGCGGGCCACTAGGTTCTTTGTGCAGGTGATGCTTAGGGAACCCTGAGCTGTTGTCCTCTGAGTTGGGTGCCCTGGGGCTGGGAGACTGGGACGCTCAGCTGCCTCCCTCCTGATGATGGATGCGACCTTCAGACCTGGCCTCTCCCACACCTGTGGGGTGCACCTGCTCTGCTGAAGGAGCTCTAGGTACACAGAGGAAGCCCCGAGCCAAGCTGCGGAAGGCACAGGGACTTGGGAGCTGCGGGCACGCTGCGGCTCAGGGCACAGCTGCGGCTATACTCAGACAGCTCCGAGGTTGGGGGTTGGCAACTATGGTCCGAGGGCCAAAGGCAGCCCACTGTCTGCTAGTGTGAAAAGGTCTTATTGGAACATGACCACTTGTTTACACATCGCCTGTGGCTGTGTGCAAGATAAGAAAGCAATGTTGGGTAGTTGGGAAAGAGGCCATGTGGCTCACAGAGGCCAAAATAGTTAGTCTTTAGTCTTTACAGAGAATGTGTGCTGAACACTGGTCTGGGAGATTGGGGCAGAGTGTCAACAGCAGCTGGTACTCCAGTGAGTCTGAAATGTTAATAGTAGATGATTCCCCTGGGGATTAGTAAAAGTTCTGTCTGTGCTTGGTACAGGCCTGAGTCCTGGTCAGGGCTCCATTGTGCTCATTGATGCCCTGAGGGGACACAGCCATTGCACCTCTGGACCCTACATGAGCCAGAGGCAGCATCTCAGACAAACCTTAATTGTGCCACTTGGAACCACATCAGGAGGCCCAAGATGGGGGGATGATCCCACCAACCACAATCCCACCAGGCTGTCCCACTGAGAGTAACTCCGTCAACTGCCCAGCCCCTTTCTCCAGAGCATGGCACACAAAGCTTGTTAAAATGCTGATGTTTAATGGCCTATTCTACATGATGTACCTGGAGAACTGTGGATTCTCCATTGACAGGATCCACAAGCCCAGTCATGAAACCCAAGACACGTGCAAAACCGAAGAACAAACAAGCATGGGGCTGCTCCACCCGCCACTGAAACTGCTGGTGTCCATGGAAGGACAGGGCAGCACATAGCCAGGCGTGTGGCTGCGTCCCACTCAGGGGTACCCCTCTGAGCAGGTCTTGTTCAGGAGCTCGAACTGCGTTAGCCAGGGCTTGGTGCTGACGGTGAAGAAGCAGGTGAGGGTCTGGGGGAAAAAGCACAGGCAGGTCCATGGGTGCAGCAGCCTTGGGAAGCTCGTGGCTCATGCTCTGAGCTCATCTCAACCTTGCTCACTCTGGGGATAGCATTTGAAGGAAGTGGCTCTGTTCCTTGGGGACAGCCACCCAAACTTACCCCTGGGACATTGCTTAACTGCTTCCAGATCTGGGGCTCTCTCCGTACCCAAGGTCACCTATGTCAGGTCCCCCATTTCAGACAGTGGCCTTCAGGGGAATTCATAGGCTGTGCCTCTGGGTGTCATAGCCCCAAGAGCACCAGAAGACACTTTGACCCACCAGGAGTTACTCTCCGATTTAAGTCATTATTAACCCATTAGTTAATCCTTTGATAAAGGTCCCACTCATCCTCAGTGGGCCATCCCCAGAACTAGGCTTCACCTTGTCCGTGTCCCTAACAGCAGGGCTGCAGCTCAGCAGAGCCATAGCAGGGCCTGGGAGTGGGGGCAATGGGGCCCCTCCTCAGGCTCCAGGTGAGAGTGGGGGTCCCTGAGAGCTGCCCATGTAGGCAAAGGCAGTGCTGGGCCCTGCCTGGCTCTTTGTCCTGCAGATAGGGGAGGGGTGGGTATGAAGACCAGAAAGAAAACATCTTTTACACAGGCCCAGGACACTGGGACAGCAGGGGGACAGGAGCAGTCTGAAAGCCATGTGACCTAGGTGGAAGGCAGCTGCAATGGTGTGGGGGGCACAGTTGGGAAACTCAGACTGGCCGGGACTGCAAGTGGACGCCTGAGCTGCTGCCCGACTGAAGCACAAGCGCAGTAGCCTGGCAGAGCCTGCTGGGGCTCCCTCCTCTGCTTCCCTAGGAAAAGCTTTGTCAGCTGCTCCCGACCTCGCACCCTGGCCCCATGCAGCCTCCACATCTGCATAAACGGGGAAAGCTGGCATCCTCTCTTACATTGTTCAGCTCGGGGCTTTCCTGAAAGGGGCAGTTGTCAATGTCTTCCTCAAATTTCCCACACGTGGTTCGGCCCAACAGCAGTTTCATGGAGAACACCATCTTGGGATCGTCCTGCTGTACATAAAGAGGTTAAAGTTGACGCTCCCTTCTTGCTGCCTCTAAATAGCTGGTAGTGAGGATGCCATCAGTGTAGGGAGAGGCACTAATACTCGGCTCCATTTGGAAGCTCACCACGGGCCTGGCATCAGCTCACTGGAGGTGAAACCCCAGGGACTTTCTCTAAATTGGGGAGTTAAGAACAAAGAGCAGGAGGTCATGGTGGATCCCTGGGGAGACACACACTGAGTCACCCCCATTACTGCATCCCCCAGCTGCAGCCCACACCCCCACTCTACCACCGTGAGACCCCGCTCCGCTCTCAGGGGGCTTCTGCACCCACAGCTGCCTTCGCAGAGGACAGACACCAGGTGCCTGGGAGGCTGTTGGTTCTGCAAGAGTTTTCAGGATGATCTCAGCCCTGAGAGAGAGAGCCTCATCTACAGCGTGTTGTCAACCTCTCCCTGGACCTCCAGCAGGAACAATGCCACCCAGTGTTCCCACTGCACACAGCACACGGCATCGGAGCCAGGGCTCCAAGAAACAACGTCTGCCCGAGTGCTAGTGCACTCTGAATTTCTCTCTGCTGTCCTTCCCGCTCCATCCCATTCCACCCCATCCCACACCTCCCTCCCGTCCATCCAGTCCCTGGGTCTGGGACTGCCAGGCACAGGAGCCCACGTGGGAAGCTCCAGCCCAGAGAGCCCGTGGCAGCAGAGCCTGCCAGGGCGCTGCAGGGTTTCCACAGAGGCTGAAGCTCTGTGCGGGGTGGGGCCCCTGCCTCCTTCTTTCAGGATCTCTGTGCCCAGGCAGGAAGAGCAATGTCCTCCCCCCCGTCCCCCCAAACCAGAAGTGCTCCCTTCGGAGAGCATTTCCTGTGTTGCCTGCAGCCCGGTGGCCTGTGCGTTCCTCCCTGCGCTCTGGAGGGACTCCACACAAAGGAGAACATCCAGGACTCAGAGCAGTGGTCTGACGAAGAGTGTGACCCACGTTCACGTCACTAATGCAGACACGCCACGGAGCCCAGAGCAGGCGGAATCAGAGAAGAGGAACCGACCAGACAGCGGGCTCAGGACGACGGCTCCTCGTTGCTCCTGAACCCTTGGTCTCTCTCTCTCTCTCTTTCTCTCTCGATTTCCCTTTTTCTCTCTCTTTCTCTTCCTCTCTCACTGCCTTTCTATTCTTTTTTTTAATTTCTGCTGTTGAAATATTTTTTCAACCTATCTCAGTGGATATTTTTTTTCTGGCTCTTTTCGTTACTCTGTTCCTTTATGTCCTCAGTAGTCCCATTTTGAAGTCATTCTTCAGTTAACCGAAGTCATAACAATCATGAAGATTGAAAAGTATATCTTGCATGTGAGTTGATTTTGAATCTTTTTTAAATTTCTAAGTTAAATGTTTTCAAAAACAGAAACTCATAGAATTACTTTGTATCTTACCCAATTATAGAGTGCAAATTGTGAGCCAAGAGTCCTTGATACAATGCCCACCCCCATCCCTCACTTAGTGTCATGTACAGGACAGGAGAGGCTGTGGTCACCAACCTGGTCCTTCCTGGAGTTCAGGGTGCTCACCAGCCTGTAGGCATGCTGGTCCCTGCTCTGCTGGTTGAACGCGTGCAAGGCGAACTCCACGGTGAGAGGGAGGTAAACTGCAATGTCTTCTTGATCAAGCCAATTCTCATCCAGTGGGCAATTTGAGGCCTGGGTCACAAGGGGCTGCAAGCCTGAGAGAAGCAGCAGCAGCACCCAGGGCAGAGCCCTCTCCCGTGGCAGACCCGACATGGTGCAGGTGCCCAGACACCCCCTGACTTTGCCCTTCCCGGCCCGGCTCTCCCAGGAGCTACCACGCTCAGGTCCTGCCCTTACACTCATCTGCTTGGGCACAGGCTCCTCCCTCTAGTCCTCATCTCTGCCATCACACCCTGTCCCTCCCACACGTGGCCTCACCTCCTCCAGGCAAAGCTGCTTAAATCATCGCCTGTGGAGGGGGAAGAAGTGCCAACTAATGGGGGGTGGCAGGTGGGGAGGACCGGCAGTGGGAGGGAGGGGTCCCCAGACACGAGCCCCTCAGGGGGCGAGCGGAGGGATTTATGTGGAGGCCGTAGACTCCAACCTGAAAAGATCACAAACTACAAGTGTGTCAGTGGAAGGTGGTCCCTGGACACACCGGTGGGGGTGGGGAGCAGGGACAGAGACAAGAAAGGACAAAGACAAAGGATGAGTTGCCAAGAGCACATGCTGTGTGTGCACAGAAGTCCCAGCTGCAGGGCTCCAGGGATAGGCTCCACAAAGCAGCCCGAGTGTCGCCTCCTGAGGGCCGAGGGTCTGGCCCAGGGGTGACAGCTGCTCCCGGGTGTCAGTGGCCTGTTGTGTTTCTGGGCCTGCTCCACTGGCACAGCAACCTTGGGACAGGAACTTGAGAAAGATAAGTAGCTGATGTCATTGGAGTCAGCCATGGGGCATACAAGTGTCGGCAAAGCTGGGAGATGGTCCTAGGACCCCCACACTTCTAGCAGGAAGCAGGGACAGAGGAGGCGGTTGGACCCAAACAACGCCATGCATCCCATACCAGGTCCCTTTCTCCTGGGCACAGCTGGACACAGGTGCAGCCTGTGCTGAGCTCTGACCATGCAATGACGATGGCTGAGAAGGTCCTGGCCCAGGGCATTGCCAGGAGCTGGTGCACCCCGTCCCCTCCCTGGCCTGTGGGACAGAGGGAGCCTCCAGGTGGGACTGTGTGCCTGGATGGTGAGGACAGAAGTGGGGTCTCAGTGGTGCTGCCTGCAGCACAGCCCCACCCCTGGCTGACGCTCTCAGCCCTGGGCCAGGGTGACAAATGGCATTTCATGCTTCACCCACTGAGCTCCTTGGTGCCCCTTCCAGCTGCTATGCCATCCTGGTGCATTCACCTGAGTTCTCCAGGGCCACAGGGAGCTGGGGGAGGAGGGTCCTGGCCTTGGAGACCTGAGCGCCATCCCTGCTCTGTCCCCAGCCGATCCTGCACCTTCGCCTGCCCGAGCCCTCTGTGCCTTGGTTGTCCACTTCAAACGGGTAATGCTTCGCCCACCCTCTCCCAGAGGCTTGTTGTTTGGGGGACACATTGTCGTGATGCAGTCAAAGTGAGCTAAGTGGAAAGTTGCTCACTTGGGTCAGGAATTCTTCCACGCTGACGCCTCCTGTCCTAATCGCTGCTGAGGGGACATTTGGAGCTTTCACATTAGTCACTTCTCCCCCGTGTCTGGGCCTGGGCCACAGCCTTGGGGGAGGAGTGAAGGAGGCTCAGAGCTGCCACCGAGGCTGACAGCTACGTGCAGACTCCGGGGCTCGTGCTCACACTGAGAGGACCACATGCACCCGTGTCTGTGCGGGAGGAACCGCAGATGAAGGGGCAGGAGCACCGGGAATTCCTCCAGAGAGGGGCCCCGGTGGGAGGGTGGGCAGGGGCCCAAGACACAGGCACAGCTCAGGGCACTGAGGGACAGGCTTTCACTCCCCTCCCCTGCTCTCTCCAGGCTGCCCCCCGGGTCCCCCCGACACTCACTCCTCACCCACCTGGAACTTCCCTACCCCCCTGCACCATGTACTGTGTGGTCTTCCTCATACTCACAGTGAGTCTATTTTTCTTTCTAATCCACAGAATCATCACATTTCCAAGTCAGGCTTCTCTATGTCTTCAGAATAATGTGGATAAACTTACCCTCAAACCCCAATTGGAGTATCAAAGCCAAGTACAGAATCTGTAGCTCACAGTAGAAGATCTTTATTGTTGTTCAATTCTCTCACATACACCACTGCTCAAAAGGAAGGAAAAGAGTCTCCTTATGGCCTTAGTATATGGTGTGTGATTGACCTCGGGCTGAGAGCATCCATAGCGATACAGATGCAGGTTATACGAAAGTGAACGAAATAATTCATCAGGAAGCTGTAATAGTCTTGAACCTGTATACAAATCTGTCTCCAAGACGCTGTCTTCCAGAAGGCTAAGTGTTATGCAGGTCACAGCAGAGTTGACAGCTGTAGCTAACCATGTCAATTCTTCAATTTCCTATATTACCTCTGCACAATATAGAATGTAAAATATTTTTTAATTATGAAAAGTACATATAATATCAAATTAACATTCTAGTCATACCTAAGTATAGAGTTCATTATTGTTAAGCATGTTCACATTTCTGTGCAGAGAATGTAAATTAAAAAAATTATCGGATAATCATTAAATTAAATTGTGGATAAAAATTACAAAGATATTGAGAGCCTAAAAATAAAGATTTACTTGATTAAGTGTGGATTAATTTCATTTCCATGTGATCATGTAATCAAATTAGTGGTAAAAAAAAATACTAGCAAAATATCCATTACATATAATTAGTAAAATTTAAAGTGAAAAGAAGTTATAAGATAAATTGATAAGTAATTAGTTGCAACAGTCATTTGTTAATTTAGTTTTTAATAGTAAATACCCACTAAATTAATATAGACACAGTTAAAGGATGTTGTTATGTAAGTTAACACCTTACTCCCCCATATGACTCACCAGTTATTTATTTTCATAAAAAGAAAGAATACATTTTAAAACTTGTGAATTGGAGCTACTATAGTATTACAGGGAAATTTACACTCATGAATGCATTTATTAAAAAGCCATAAATAATTTAAAAAGAGGAACATAATCTTAAAGTAGAAAGGTAAAATTCATAATAAAACCATATTTTTTTTTATTTTATACATTACATGTTTATGGGATACAATGTGATGGTTTGATACATGCTTACCCTGTGGAATGATTATATAAAGCTAATTCATAAATCCATCATGTCATGTGCTTGTGGTAAAACATTTTAAATCTACCTTTTTAGTAATTTTGAAACATCTAATGCATTATTATTTAATATAGTCACCCTTCTGTGCATTACATCACTAAAGCTTATTCCTCCTGTCTAATTAAAATTTTCTTCCTTTTAACCAACATTTTTCCTTCCCCCAGTCACTGCTCTCCCAGCCTCTAGTAACCACCATTCTACTTTCTGTTTATATGAGTTTGAATTTTTCAGTTTCCACTTGTAAATGAGATCATGGGGTATTTGTGTTTCTGTGCCTGCCTTATTTCTTCTGTCACATCCTCCAGGTTTATCCATGTTGTCAGAAAAGCAGTATTTCCTTCTTTTTTAAGGCTAAATACTATTCTGTTGTGTATATATATATTAATACCATATTTTCTTTATCCCTTCATCCAATGATAGACATGTAAGTTGATTCCATTTTTTGGCTATTGCGAATGGTGCTACAATAAACATGGAACTGCATCTTTTTGACATACTGATTTAAATTTCTTTGGATGTAGACTTAAAACTGAAATTACTGAAGCATATGGTAATTCTATTTTGTATTTCTGAGGAAGCTACATACTGTTGAACAACAAATTTTAAAATAAGAAAAAGTGGGGCAATGAACTAAGCAAAATATAAACGAAAAGATTATTAGAAGGCAAATCCAGGAATAGAGAGAGAGAGACACAGACAGACAGAGACCAAGAGGAACAGAGAGAGAGATAAAATACTGGTAATGAACAATACCAGACTTCTTAAAACACAGAAAAAACATTAATGTGCATATGAAAATACTGTAACACAGCAAGGAGTTTTTCAACTCGGCATCAAATCATGGTACATAAATGAATTGATAAATTATTCCTCATTAAAATTAAAAGAATTTGCTCAGAGGAAGCCCAAGTGAAGTGGACTAAAATACAAGCCACAGAGTGGAAGAAAATACCCATATTTCAAACCACATATCCATCGAACAACTAATATCTACTACATATAAAGAACTCTACAAACTCACCAGTAAATATAAACAATCCAGTTGGAAAATAGGCAAATGACACATCACCAAAAAGGTTATGCAGAGGCAAATAAGCATATAAAGGATATTCACCTTCATTAGCCACAAGCGAAATGTAAATAAAACCACAGTGAGATTTTACTATACACTCATTAGAAGGACTGAAATAAAAAATAGCGACAATGGCAATACCAGTGAGAATATAGAAAAACGACATCATTCACACTTGCAGACGGGAATATAAAATGGCACAGCCACTTTAAAAACAGTTTCACAGTTTCTTATGAAACTAAACAGGACTTTGCACTCTTTGGCATATTGGCCACAGAAATAAAAATGTATGTTCACACAAAAACTTGTACACAGATATTCTTACCAGATTTATTTATAACAGTTAAAATTGGAATCAGCCCAAATATCCATCCATATTTGTGAATGATTAAACAAACTGTAGTATGTAGAAACCATGGAATCCCACTCAGGGATCAAAAGGAACTAACTATTGATGCATGCAACAACTTGGGAAAAGAAATAGGGGATTATGCTGAACGTAGTGCCAAAGGCTACACACATTATGATTCCAATCATATATCATTTTTAAATAACAGAATTTTAGGAATGGTGGACAAATCAGTGGTTTCTAGGATCTAGAAGACTTGATGACCACTCTGGTCCAAGGAGGTGAGGAGAAGCAGTAAGTGCTCCATGTTTATGACTTCATTTTCTTCTATCCCGTAACTGGACTGATAAAATTGCAAGACAGGAGTTGTAAGAGGGAAGCACCTCTGATGCCAAATGGAGTGGTACTGGTACTGTGAGAAACTGCCAAGGAGAGCTGCCTGAGTTGTGCTGGATTCACAGGGTCAAAATCAAACCTTGTTGTGCTGAGCAACTTAGCTTTGGGGATTTATTTCTTACTGCGGCATCATCTATCCTACCCT